TTTGTTAACAAAAACACAAACAAACTGAAGAAAAGAGAAGAACATTGATGTCAAACGAATATGCATCCTCATTCATCCTGACTTTTTGTGAGTGAAATCTACTTCTTTTAGTCTCAAAACTACGTGTTATGGTCTTTCTTTTATGTATTACGTTATGACGTTTCGTGAAAAATTTGTATACGTGATGGAGAAAAATGGATATCATTTTCGGATTCAGCGTACAGGAATTACTATAGATCATGTAAAAATATCAAGTCAATAAAACCATCGCAGGCCTATGTAATCTGTTAGTATTCCGTTTTCAGCTGTTTTGAGTGACTCCAGAAAACGACACAAAGGTATGTAAAAAAATTACTGTCAGGGCGAAATTAATGAACTGAAAAATAACATAATCTATGAATATTACCCATTTTGTGTCACCCTTTAAATTTATATCCATACAAATGAGAGCTAAAATATACATAGAAAAATATTTTATTTGCCTAAAAAATATTACATTTTTACACAGATTTTGTTTGAGAATTTGGTAGCACAATTCTAAATATTTATAATATCTGGTGAGCTCAGATATGTTGCTTAATAAAACAGAAATACATTACAATTAAAGTAGCTGATTCTATATGCATAGTTTACTCCCCACATTAGATGACCAACTTGAAAGATTGTCAACTGTGGGTAAAGACTGGAAAAGATGACACACCTTATCCATTGATTGGTATGTATGCAGCTGCTTGTCCGAAATCTTATTAATATAGTGTTTAGAAGTTGGAATGGTATTTAATTAAAATTTGTCCGTTTCTAAATTAAGTTGATATGTCGAATGAATGATGAAATTATATAATTACATTAACCCCTTCGTTTGCGGCTTGTGTAAATCTGTCTACATGTAAAAAAAATTCGCGAATTTTTGCGTCGGACCACTCAAAATGTTGCTTGCAAAATGCTTGCATCATATAATGTCAACCGCAGTCGCCTACGCTAACATCATATGATGTCAACCGCAGTTGAAGGTTAAACTAAAGATGATCGGCTTGATTACCGTGAAGCAGAACCGTAGAATTGACGATAAAAAAAAACGTTTAGCAAGTATAATTGTTTATTTAGCGAGTAAAGTTTAATTATAACTTCCTAATGCTGCACTTTTAGTAGATTTGTCATTGTTACTAGCCAAAGATTTGCGAGTTTGAAATGAAAAAAATTCGATTTTCCGTTTGTTACGAAAGTTGTTACGGTGTTTAAATTGCAAAGAGTATTTTTATTTATTTTCGCGCAAAGCGACACGAGGATTAACAGCGCTAGCCGTCCCTAATTTTAAAGTGATAGAGAATATAGAAGGAAGCTAGTCATTACCACCCGTCGCCAGTTCTTGGGCAATTCTTATCATACCAAATAGTGTAATTTAACTGCCATTCTTATAACACATCCACGGTCCTAAAATGCTGAGCGCGATTTGTTTTTTGCGAGAACGGGACGCGAACCACGGAACCTCAACTTCATGGTCAGGCACGCCAACTACTGAGCGGCGTTCAGCTCAACAGCTGGTTAGATAGATTATATTTTAACTGGCCCAAATTTATAATAATAAATATGTTCAACACATAGTATCATTGTATAAAGGCGAGTACATGAGTCAAAATCCCACATTTCTCAAAGTAAAAAGTATAGAAGTACAGAGACTTATGTTAGTTTGTAAAGCTCTAAAATAAGCAATAATTATTGTGTACCATTGTTGGAAACTGGAACGGTATATCCTTTATTATTGTTATATTCAAACAATAAATATATTTATTTATTTTACTATTAACATATTATTGATCATTATACTTTGGTTCATGAGTTGAACCCCCTGTCCTTCCTATATCCTCCCCTGCTGTAAACGCGTTTTCTTCAACTCCTGTCTTAGGCTACTAATACATAAGACATAATTTGGAATTTTCTGTGCGGGGAAAAAAAAATATATTTGTGGCATACAGCATGTAAAAATGTGATTATCACACAATTCTGAAATCTTACTTCTATCTTGTAACATATTGCAATATCTAAAAATAGATCATGGCTGAATATTTGGGTACAATTTTTAAAAAAAATTAGTAATTTTTGTTTTAGACTTACTTTATTCGTAGACTCACAAATTTTCTTGTCTTCAAGTTTATAATAAGTTAAGTTAATTTTTATCCTAACCACGGTTTTTATTTAATCTTAACGATACAGGGTCAAATATGTCATTTGTCATAATATTTCACTGTAAAATCTCATTTAGGACATGAATACCCATTCTCCATTGAAATGAACTTTCTGAGGAACTTGCTTCAGTGTTCGTCTTTGAATCCTCACAATTTCAACAATGTTAGCTCTGACAAAAAAAGTGTGTTCATTTTTAGACGGTTATCAACTCAGAAAGTCGCAGCTTTAACAGGTGAGAGACCAAACTTCGTGTTTACCATGTGTCTAAACATTGACCCGTCTGTAAAAAATGAACTGGTTTGTATCATATTATTTGGATTTTGTAAGACAGTTTAAAAATAGTTTGAAATATGTTGTTGACATTGGTAAGATGGCGGAACTCTGAAGAATCTAATATAGATTGTAGTATATGTTTTGGGTAATAACCATCGTATTGTTACCCTGTTAATGGTTACAATTCTGAATAGACTTCACTTGATCTTCGACAACCAATTTTGTTGGGACATGCATTCCGTGCTTTAATATGTTTAGAATAAATTATTTTAATCTAATCTTGTCATCTACACTTTTGAAAAACAGTATGGCAGGGTTTCCCAAAGTATAGAAGTGCGCGAGCGATTAGGGTAGAGTCAATAGTGCAGTAATGCAAGATTAAGAGTTTTTAACATATTTTATTCTATGAATGAAAATAATAAGTGATCACTACAACAACACATGTAGCATTGTAATGTGTATCCGTGTATTACATTTTGTCACTTAACTCACTCCTTCACTTACTTAAAAAATAAAAGGGGCGCGCAAGAAACCATATTTATTAAAGGGTGGATGTGGATAACAAATGTCTGGGAAATACTGTTGTTTGTTTTTGAATTTCGCGCAAAGCTACACGAGGGTCATAAGCGCCATCCGTCCCTAACTTAGCAGTGTAAGACTAGAGGGAAGGCAGCTAGTCATCACCACCCACCGCCAACTCTTGAAACGCTGTAATATGGAAAACATTCTGTCAGTATTTAGTTAAGTTAGCTTCAAGAAGTTATAGTTTTTACAACCTAGCTTCTAATTGTCACATTATTATGGAGCTGCTAATCTTCTCTATTATTTTGTTGTGCAAATTAAAACAAAGTGATTTTATAAACACTTAACTTTACAAAGTTTGTAAAACGTATGTGTACCAGGTCAAATAAATCAGTATATATCAGTGCAAGTTCCATTTACGTTATTTTTGGCAGTATTATTTTCATTGTAGGAATGTTAATTGATACAAATTAATATCTTAGTACATTTAATTGTGGTTCATCATTTGAAACGTGTTATTTTTTATTCATGTAGACGTTTCTAAAAAGAGGAAAAGGCAAAGAAAGCCTACCATCATTGGCTGGGCCTTCAAAAAACAGACAAGCAAACAAGATAGTCAATATGGTGGGAATAATTTTTCCTCATCTTGCTCAATTTTCGGTAAACCGCTTTCAAAACTGTGTGCTGACGGAAACCTACCGAAAGCATTAGTGGTAAGTTTCGAAACTGAAGCTATAAACAATCCTGTCTTAAAATAAAAATAGTACTTTTGCAGAAGGCAGAAAAAATGTGTTTTTAATTTATTATAATTGTATTTTTGAGCAAAACAAACGAAATAGGTAGAAGACTAGAAGTTTAGAAAAGAGGAATTTAATTCTTTGAAGATACATTCTTAATATTATATTTGTGTCATTGCCAATCAATTGAATGAGTTGAACATTGCATTTTGATAGAATTTATTTTATGGTCGTAATGTAGTGTTCTCTGACTTAACATTTACTTTATTTTTTGTCTCATAGGCCATTTTAGCCCAGATTTTTCATCGAGGACCTTATATTGTTGGAATATTTCGCCAATCAGCAAATGCTCGATCTTGTCGAGAGTTGAGAGAAAAACTGGAACTTAACACGGATTTGGAAATGAAGGACTTTTCTGTCATTGTTCTGGCAGCTGTATTTAGAGTAAATAATATTTGTGCATGCTTATATTAAGTGATAACTGAGTGTAGAACAATACATATATTTGTATTAACCCTGAAATTACCAATGGGTTTATTGACAGTTTTCTAAACTATTTATGCACCAAATAGCTTGTGAATTTATGACTCTGTTGGTTACAGAATTCGTAATCACTTGCAAGTCACACAAAACAAAATATGATCAATATTTCAGTTAATTCCACTCAATACTGCTGGCGTCCCCTATGTACTTTACTCAGGAAAAATGGGTCATTTCACCCAATTTTGTTTTGGGAGAGGGAGCATATCTTTACATTAAATGCTGTGACAAGCAAAACTATTGAATTATTCAATATGATTGAGTATGTGGACCCCACCGCTAGTGAACCCGATATAAACAAGTTCTTAGATTTCAGGGTTAACTAGTTATATGTGTTTAGGATAAATTAATGTGTGTGTATGTGTAACCAAAACACACGCAAGTTTTGTTTATATTAGTACTGAGCAATATCTGAACATACAATAAAGAATATATTCATGAGTACTATATTATTGACCTTGTACATCCCCAATTAAGACAATTCTACTACACTGACTACAGTTTATTTTTCTCCAGACACTAAAACTTTTCCATTTTTTCAGGAATTTCTCAGGTCACTTCCTGACTGCCTGTTGCTATCCGACAGGTACAATAAATGGCTTGAGGTAACAGGATATGAAGATGAGTGGGCAGTAAGGGAGAAAATCACAGGGTAAGTTTCCTTTATTTCCAAGTCACTAATGCAAACCATAACTAAAATTTTATATTGGTTCGTTATTTCCATCTTAACCAATCAGATATTAGTGCGTGGATAATTTCTATTTAATATTTATACAAAGCTAGAATACCTCATACTGTAATAGCAGACAAAAAAAACACAGTGGTGCCCAACTCCCCCTAAGCCTTGGAATAGTCCCCCTACTTTTAGCAGATTGAGCTCTCCAACCCAACTCCCCCTAAGCCTTGGAATAGTCCCCCTACTTTTAGCAGATTGAGCTCTCCAAGCTACAGTTTGACGTTAATGCCTTAGATTGACAGTTTAGCGAAGTCTTGGGGGCATGAAAAGTGGTGAAAGAAAATAATTCACTTTTCCTCTCAAATAAATTATGTTATTAAAATGAAAAACATTGCCCCTCACCTATTGGAACTCATGGAAGAGTTGCTTTTAGTGTCCTCATTCGTGGACACTACTGAACATACACAAATTAAGACTCAAGTTGAATCAATAGACAAGACTGTGTAGCGGCAGATCCGAAGTGTTGAAACAGTAAACTTGCTTTCCACCTCAAGTTTCGTTTGAGGACTTTGGTGGTAGTGTTTGTATGTAAGTACGGCTTTTATAAGTGATGTTATTTAAACATGGTACAAAATATTAGAATACGCACAACACTCGTTTAAAAATGTTGATGCACTTTAAACTTGTTTAAACTTTAAACTTGTTTCCAAGTGCCATACGATAGTTGCTTTTTGTTTTACCACTTAAGGTTAATTTATACTACAGAACCTGAGCATACTGCTGGCATTACTAAAACTGTTTGTTTGTTTTGAATTTCGCGCAAGGCTACACGAGGGCTATCTGCGCTAGCCGTCCCTAATTTATAGCAGTGTAAGGCTAGAGGGAAGTCATCACCACCCACCGCCAACTCTTGGGCTACTCTTTTACCAGCGAATAGTGGGCTTGACCGTCACATTATAACGCCCCCACGGCTGAAAGGGTGAGCACGTTTGGTGGGACGGGGATTCGAACCCGCGACCCTCAGATTGCGAGTCGAGCTCCCTAACCACCTGGCCATGCCGGGCCTACTAAAACTGAGTAGTAGTAGTATTACTCTCAGAAACTAATTTTGTCCCTAGTGCTCCTCAAGATGACCATAATATTCGTATGAATTACCAAAAAAACTAATATACCGCTGTTTTACAAATGACACTTTCTGGTCATAATCTAAATCTTTTCGCTATTACAGTAAATTTGCTACAAAAATAATTTAAAACAAAGTATAACAAGATCCAGAAGAAAGAGGAAACTTGTAATATAATACGATTTTCCACTATATATATAATATTCCAATGAGAAAAGTTGGTTATCTTTCATAATAATTTTTATTGAAAAGTGGTATCAAATTTATTTTACAAAATTTTTCTTCGTAATTAATTCGACTTAACACCTTTTCTGTAAGAATGTTGTTGTTGTTTTCAGGTTATTGAGACAGTTACCACCAGAAAATATCGATCTGCTGAAGCATTTTCTTTGTGTTCTATGGCAAATATCCCAGAATTCCTCAGAAAATAAGATGTCTTCTGATAACTTAGCTCGATGTATTGCCCCCAGTCTTCTGTGGCCAAAGCTCATAAACAACCAAGACTGTGCCATACTTCAGCCAGAGGTGAGATGCTCAATGTCGTAGTGACCCCAGACATGATTAACAGTCTTAGAATTTAACAGAAGAGACATGACAATTCATGAATAATGAACACAAAAGTGGTCCAGACCATCAGAATCAGAAGATACTGATAAACATATGTGTTTATATTTTATTTGTTGGAAAAGAATAGAGTCACCTACCTAATTTTTGGCCTACCAGTTCACTCTACCATGAACTAATTGGATTTATCACTGATTAGCTTTTCTCTTTGTTTTTATTCTGTATTTCAAAGAGAATCCGAAGTTTTCTTTAAAAAGTAAATGTAAGCAGGTGTTTTTATTCTTCGCATTTTATTTGTGTGTTGATAACAAAGCTACTAAGCATATCTGCCACGGCCCCTAATTTTGACCTGCCTACCACATAGAGGATAAGTAGCCGACAGCACTCACTAATTTTTCATTTTTATTGTAATCAATAACAATTAATGTATATCGATTTATTATACTATTTTCCACATATCAAATTACCAGTATCTGTGATTCTATATTTACATTGTTAGTTAAGGGTTATCCAATTACCAGTATCTGTGATTCTATATTTACATTGTTAGTTAAGGGTTATCAAATTACCAGTATCTGTGATTCAATATTTACATTGTTAGTTAAGGGCTATCAAATTATCAGTATCTGTGATTCTATATTTACATTGTTAGTTAAGGGTTATCAAATTACCAGTATCTGTGATTCTATATTTACATTGATAGTTAAGGGCTATCAAATTATCAGTATCTGTGATTCTATATTTACATTGTTAGTTAAGGGTTATCAAATTACCAGTATCTGTGATTCTATATTTACACTGTTAGTTAAGGGCTATCAAATTACCAGTATCTGTGATTCTATATTTACATTGTTAGTTAAGGGTATATCAAATTACCAGTATCTGTGATTCTATATTTACATTGTTAGTTAAGGGTATATCAAATTACCAGTA